GCATGTATGTTTAAAATATGTTATGATAAAGCTACATTATACAGTAATAAAAACCTGAAAATTCCAGTAGCTTAAAGTGGCATGGTTGCCTTTTTACTCAAACTACATGCCCAGCACATGTTAGTAAGAGAGCTTAATTCATTGTAGTTTCAGACTGTATCAAATCTGCCTAATATAAAGTACTATCTCAGCACAGCATATACTTTCACAGCCTCTGAAGGGAAAAGAGAACATGATGAACCAGTGACTTTTTTTTTTTTTGACACAGGGTCTCCCTTAGCCCCAGCTGGCCTGGAACTCACTATGTAGACCAGGGTGGCCTTGAACTCAGAGAGTGCTGGCCTCTGCCTCCTGAGTGCTGGGATTAAAGGCATGTGCCACCATGTCCATGAACCAGTTACTTTTAAAGCTTTCGTTTTGGGTTGGAGAGATGACTCAGTGGTTAAGAGCACTTACTGCTTTTGCAGAGGACCCAGGTTCAGTTTCCAGCACCCACATGTTATCTCACAACTGCCTGTAATTCCAGTTCCAGGGGATCTGATGCCCTCTTCTGCCTCTGCAGATTCCTACATGTATGTGGTGCACATAAATGCACACAGGCACACATATATAAAAAATAATAAAAATAATCTTGGGGCTGGAGAGATGGCTCAGCAGTTAAGAGCACTGACTGTTGTTGCAGAGGACCTGGGTTTGATTCCCAGCACCCACATGGTGGCTGCGAACCGAGTTTAACTCCAGTTCCAGGGGAATCCGAAGGCCTCTTCTGACCTCCATGGCATTGCATGACATGGGTGCACTCACATACAGGCAGGCAGTACACTCATACACATAAAGTAAAAATAATAAATAAAAATATTTTAAAAATCTTTAAAGCTTGTATTTCACTGGCCAAAGTAAATCTCATAGGCATGCCTAAATTCAACAGGAGAGTGATAAATCTCTTCAAGGAAGGGCAGCAAATGCTTGTGGGTGTAATAGAGCCACCTCTTCAAATTTGTAGTCTTCATGGTTGAGGCTGAAAAATAAATACTGTTTTCCATAGTATTTCTGTGTCTGGAATTTCTTTAATTTTGTAATATTTTCTCTCTTGTAGTAATTTATAAAGTGTTTATTTTCAAGCTTACAAGAAAGATTTAAACCTAAAAATGTTAATATCAGTTTGATGTTCATGTATATAGTGACATTTTGTCTTGATTTGCATATTTCTGAATAGGAACAATGGGTATAACATAGTATTACAACAAAAACACTGTTGATGCTAGATGACATCTTCATTTATCAGCTCATATTGTGATCTTTTACTTAATTTAAAATTTTTTATTTATATTGTATGTTTATGGGTATTTTGCCTAAATGTGTATAAATGCACCTGGGCATCTGATTTCCCTAGAACTGGCGTTATAGACTGTTGTTAGCCATGGTGTTGGTGCTGGAAACTGAACTCTGGTCCTCTGCAAAAGCAGACAATCCTCTTAACCTCTGAGTCATCTCTTCAGCCCCTTATGAACTTTCTTTATGATATATAAACAAATTTTTTATCTATATAAATTCAGCAAAAAATTTAAAAAAATTCATTGAATGATTTCTAAATATTTTTCCACATACTTTGAATAGAAGACTTAATACATGCTTCTAATTTTTATTCCTTTTTGAAGGCATACAAAGGCAAGATAAGCTCTCTAGCCACGCATGGTAGTGCACACCTTTACTCCCGGCACTGGGAGGCAGAGGCAGGTGGATCTCTGTGGGCCACCCTGGTCTACATAGTGAGCTCCAGGCCAGTTGAGGCTACAGGGGAAGAAAAAGGGTAAGCTCTCAAAATTCTCAAAATTGACCTCAGTGGTCCTCACCTTTGCATAGTTCTCTTTCATACTGAGTAGGGTAGTAGACTTGCAATACATTAAGAAATATATATATGTAACCAGGAGGCTACTGTAGAAAAGATAGCAGATAGTTCCAGTGCACTGTGATTTAAGCCAGGTATGATGAAAGTATAAAGAAAAAGTAATGAATAAGCTACACAAAAAAATGAGGACAAATCGGGCATGGTTACCCATACCTTTAAACCCAGTACTTGGGAGGCAGTGGCAGGTGGAGCTCTGTGAGATTAAGGCCAGCCTGGTCTACATAGTGAGTTCCAGACCAGCTGTGGAACAAGGAGACCCTGTCTTACAAAGACCAAAGAAACAAACAAACAAACAAAAACCTAAAACAACCAAAACAAACAAAAAAAAAACAACAGGACAGTAGTTATCTGTGCATGGTGGCAACAGAGAATGCTATTGGGAAAATGCACAGGGGTAAGGTAGCATTCTGTTAATCTGGGTACTTTTCAGCGTTCATTTGCCAGGCATGGTGCAACATGCCTTTAATCCCAGCCTGGTCTATGTAGCAAGTTCCAGCCTAACTGGGAGACCCTGTCTCAAAAAAAACACAAAACACAAAGAGAACCCCCCCGACACACACACCAAAAAAACCTATAGGTTATCTTATTCAAGATTTTATATACCTATTTAAAAACAAAAACATTGGGGACTGGAGAGATGACTCAGTGGTTAAGAGCAGTGGCTCCTCTTGCAGAGAACCAGGGTTTGATTCCCAGCACCCACATCGTGGCTAACAACCATCTGTAACTCCAGTTCCAGGGGATCTGATACCTTCTTGTGTCCTCCGTGGGCACAGGACACAGGTGCACTTATATACATATAGGCAATACACTCATACACATAAAATAATAAAATATTTTTTAAAAAACCAAAACCATGTTTCTGTAACTTTTTTGTTTTGTTTTTGAGATATGGTCTCACTGTGTAGCCCTGACTGGCCTGGAACTTGCTGTGGAGATCAAGATGGCCTGAAGCTCAGAGATCCACCCGTCAGCGCCTCCCCAGTGTTGGGATTAAAGGCATGCACCAACATGCCCAGCAAATTTCAACAACTTTTAATAAAATTTTTTTTAATTATTCATGTGTGTGTGCATACACATAAGTGCAGTTACCAGTGATGGCCAGAGCTGTTGGATCCCCTGCAACTGGAGTTACAGGCAGTTGTGAGCCATCTGACATGGGTTCTGGGAACCGAACTCTAGTCCACTGCAGGAGCAGTGTGTAATATTAACCACTGAGCCATCTCTCCAGCCCTCCAAAACAAATTTCTTAGTTATACAATCTATTAAGAAAGTCTGTGTTTAGGGTGTATCTCAATGTTCCAACACATGCTTAGTATTCATAAGGCTCTGGGTTATGATTCACCAGAAAGGAAGAAAAGGTAGGGTGGAGGTAAGAGAAGAGACAGGGAGGCGATAGGAGGGAAGCCTGTGCCTATTTTGATTAGAGGAGTTTGTTCTTCTAGTAGGTACAGAGTCTTCTTACATCAGACTTACAGAAGGCAAAGGTTTAGAATACTGGAAAATCCCAAACTTTGGGAGACAAATCAATTATAAATTTAAAGCTTGTAATACTGACAGAACATTAAAGGACTCATTCCCACCCATGCTTTTTGGAATGGTAGGGTGCATACAGGCTAGTGTGGAGCTAGACGTGGTGGTGCACACCTGCAATCCTAGCACTTGGGAGATAAAGGCAGGAAGGTCATAAGCGTAAGGCCTTGGCTTACATGAGACCCTGTAAAAAGCATAAAAGTTCATGTGGAAGGCAGTTTAAGCATGTGCATGTAGTTATTTACTTTCACACGGGTAACTTACCAGTGGCTACACCACTGAAGAGAGTGACTGTCCTCCTTCAGCAGACATTAACTGTCAGTGGCTCCTCAGTTATGGGTGGGGGCTCATGAGCCCCTCCTGCCTCCATGCTAGAATGTTGAATGACTCGATCTTGTGCAGGTAATCACAGCTACTCTGAATTCATGAGTGCAATGGCCCTATCATGTCCAGAAAACTGTGTATCTCTCAGCATTCCTCTCTATGCCTCTCTGCTGTGATGTCTCCTGAGCCTTAGGTTGTGTGCACATGCACTCAACAGTCACTTATTCTCAGCACTTTTACCAGTTACCGGTCTCTGCATTAACAACTGCCCTTTGCAAACAGAAGATTGTCTCACCAAGGCCGAGAGCAGTGCTGATTCAGACATCTTATGTAACAACATGTCTGTTTAGCAAAACAGCAGTAGTAAGTTCTCTGCCTAGGGCCTATGATCACTCCAACCATGGGCTTTTGTCCACATTTACAGTACCAGGCCTGAAGTCCATGGTCAAGGGAATTTAAGCTGTTTATTTTATTTTATCATCAGTTGTAAGCCTCACTCTCTCTAATCACACTTAAGCATTTTGAATGTAAGAATGTTCTTTTCTGTTTTTGTTTTTTTTTTTCTTGGAAGTTGGGGGTAAACATGTAATTGCACTAAGGGTCTCCGTATAATGCAAAATGATATGCCTCATCCACTTTAAATAGTATTGATTTAGGATGTTTCCCAAAAATGTAAATATATTACAGAAGTATTTTTAAAAAAGAAGAAAATTGTGGATTTTTGAAAATCAGATGTGGAAAATGAACATATTGAATTGATAATAATCTTATAGCAGTTGTCTATGAAATAAATAAAACCCATAATTTCTTTTGAATAATTTTATACTGTTTACTTAAGTTAAAAATATGTTAGCACACAAAAAAACAAAACCAAACCAAACGAAATATGTTAGGGACTGGAGCAGTTAAGAGCACTGGCTGCTCTTGTAGAGGACCCAGGTTCAATTCCCAGCACCCACATGGTGGCTAAACAACCATGTGTAACTCCTGTTCCAGGGGCTCTGATGCCCTCTTCTGACCTCTGTAGGCACTGCATGACATGAGTGCACTTTCACACATGCAGGCAGTACACTCATACACATAAAAAAATGTTAATGCTAATGGGATTGTCGGTATGAATCTAAATGCTATTAAATCTGTCAGAAGAAATGTATTTTACATATAGACTGTTCTAGGAACACGAATAGTCTTTCATCAGTGTGTTTTCTCCTCTACCTCTTCTTTCTCTCAACAGGAACTATTCTTGACACAAGCATTTTAAAAGAGAATTCCGTGCCATGGCTTCAGCAGTCCTTAGCTCTGTTCTCACAACTGCCTCTCGTTTTGCCCTGTTACAAGTGGACAGTGGCAGTGGTTCTGATTCGGAGCCTGGAAAAGGCAAAGGCCGGAACACTGGGAAGTCTCAAACTCTGGGAAGTAAATCAACTACAAATGAGAGAAAAAGAGAGAAAAGGAGAAAAAAGAAAGAGCAGCAACAGAGTGAAGCGAATGAGGTAGCAATTATTATTTGTCTTGTCTGCTTCCTCTAAAAACTGTACATTGTGGTGTGAGCATCACTCATACAGCCACGGTGTCTCATCCACCAGGCTCAGAAATACCCATTGAGTCTATGTGTGCTTAAACTCGCATGTAGTGAATGTTAATCTTTTTTCCCTGACTGTAGCAGCTTGTGTGTTCATTCTAAAAAAGCTTAAAACACAGAAGTGTTAAGAAGTAACAAGGTCATGCCTGTAGTCTCAGCTGCTCTAGAGGTCAAGATTAGAGGGCTGCTTGAACCAGCCTGAATAACACATCATCTTATAAATAAATAAATAAATAAATAAATAAATAAATAAATATGTAAATTTAAAAGTAAAAATAAAACATACAAATAACTTTATTTTAGTTGTGTCAGTCAGTGTATAAAAATACACTTAAAAATTAAAATCATTAGTATTGGTGAACTGAATTTAATATATTTTGTGCTTATTTTATAGCTCAGAAATCTTGCTTTTAAGAAAATTCCCCAGAAATCCTCCCAAGTCATTTGTAATATTCAACATGAGCTTTCATCGCCAGCCCCAGTACAAAAGGATTCACAAGAAGAAAATTGGCAAGAGTGGAGACAAAGGGATGAACAGGTACAGCTAAATAAATAAAGTTACTTTGCTTTTTTTCTCAATAATTTATAGAGTTTTAAGATGAGAGTACACCTGAATGCATGTGACTATTGTGAGGAATAGTTAGATTAATTCATATGTGCTACTTTTTAAAAGAAATATTAAAAAAAAGTAGCCCCAGCTGTCCTGGAACTCACTATGTAGACCAGGCTGGACTTGAACTCACCGAGATCCCCCTGCCTCTGCCTCCCGAGTGCTGGGATTAAAGGCTACTTTTAATAAGAAGTCCTGGTTAATATTATTTATGTTAGTTTTGGCAATTCAAAGTGGTTAAGTGTTTTCTTAGTTTTTTTTTGTGTGTGTGTGTGGGGGGGGTCCTGAGGATCAAATCCAGGACCTGCTGGGTGTGGTGGCTCAAGCCTTTAGTCCCAGCACTCAGGAGGCAGAGGCAGATATATCTCTGTGAGTGCAAAGCCAGCCTGGTCTACATAGCGAGTTCCAGGCCAGCTAGGGCTACAGGGAGACCCTGTCTTAAAAAGATCCCCCTGAAAAATAATTGTATGAAATTCACAAAAATTCAATAAAAAACTAATACAATTTTTTTTTTAAGGAAAATAAGAGAAAAATATCTAGTAACAGCTGTACTTAAAAATAAAGACTTTGATCCAGGCGTGGTGGCCACACCTGTAATCCCAGCACTCGGGAGGTAGAGGCAGGCTGATATCTGTGAGTTCAAGGCCAGCCTGGTGGTCTACATAATCCGTTCCAGGCCAGCTGGGGTTACAGGGAGACTGTCTTTAAAAGACCAAAATGAAAAATCAAGACTTAGAAGCTGGGCCTGGTGGCGCACACCTGTAGTCCCAGCACTTGGGAGGCATAGGTAGGCGATCTCTGAGTTCAAGGCCAGCCTGGTCTACATAGTGAGTTCCAGCCCAGCTGTGGCTACAGGGAGACCCTGTTTCAAACAAAAGACCAAAAAAAAAAAAAAAAAAACAACACCCAACAAAAATAAAGACTTTGAAGGGAAACTTCCTTTTTTTAAAGTTTTTATTTTTATATGTATGACTGTCTGCCTGTATGTATGTAAGTAAACCTGTGTTGTGGTACAGTGCCCACAGAAGTCAGGAGAGGGCATCAGCTCCCCTGGAACTGTAATTACAGGCAGTTATTAGCCACCATGTGGGTGCTGGGAACTGAACCCGGGTTCAGTCAAGTTCATGGGCATAGTAGAATATATCTGAGATAATTATATTCAAAAGTGAAAAAAATAAAGGCAAGTCTTGGAACTGGTAAACAGTATTTCAGTTGGAATCGTTTTTATTGGGAGGAATCATAGATTTCAAAAGTAGGCCTATTCAGGGGAACTAGGAAATAATTACTAGGTAGAAAGCATGCAGAATATCCTTGGTGTTCTCTCTGACAAAGTAGAAAAATAGCACTATGTGAAATTCCAGATGTGGAGGACTAAGCCTGACAGAAACTTGTTATGTGGTTACTTATTTCAAGTACATAAAGGAAATTATGCTAAAGCACAATCTCTATCACTTGATTGATAATGTACTTATTTCAAGTACATAAAGGAAATTATGCTAAAGCACAATCTCTATCACTTGATTGATAATGCAAATTTATATTAACTTAGCCTCAGCATAAAAATCTGAGAGCCGAAATTAAACAGCAACCAGTAACAGTAAAGAAGCATTCATGTGCCGGGCGTGGTGGCGCATGCCTATAGTTCCACCACTTGGGAGGCAGAGGCAGGTGGATCTCTGTGAGTTTAAGGCCAGCCTGGTCTATATAGTGAGTTCCAAGCCATCTGGGGCTACAGGCAACCCTGTTTCAAAAAGACCAAAAAAAAAAAAATTAAAAAAAAGCATCCATGCATTCTACTTATGAGCAGATACTAAATCTCCGTCCATCTCATGTCAGCTGAAGAACAGTTGTACTACAAAAAAGAAAAAAGCATTGTATTTGATGGACAGAGGGAATACAGTCTTTGAAAAAGATGGCATTTTATTGAACAGATACTAATTTTAGGTTATGCCTGTATTTTCTTTTAATGAAAATTAAGGGGGCTGTCAGGGGACTCAGCAGGTAAGGGCAATTGCCACCAGGCTTGAATGCTAGAGGATGGTCAGCAGAACCCACATGGTAGAGGGAGAGAGAGCCAGCTTTTTCAGGTTGTCCTCTAACTTATGCATGCTCACCATGCCCTGCCCACCCCAAAAAAGAAAGAAATCAAGAGGCTGGGGCTAGCAGAGTGTCTCAGAGGGACCTGACAATCTGAGTTTAATCCCAGGATCCCACAGTAGAAGTAGAGAACCAGCTCCTGAAAGCTGTCTCTGATCTCCATGCATGCCTGCTTTGCTTTTGTTTTGAGCATCTCTCTTACTAAGGCCTTTGTTAATAGTTTGACCTGTACCCGTACCTCCCTTTAAGGAGGTAACCTCAAATGAATCCTCTATTTTGGCCTCTTTAGCAAAAAAATTCATTGCTTTTGCACTGAAAGAATTACTTGATACTTGATCTGGAAGGATTTCTACAGGTCTCTGGGTGTTTGAAAATGAAACAAACAGCTGAGCATGATGGCACATTTTTATAATCCCAACACTCAGGAGGCTGAGCCAGGTGGGTCATGAATTTGAGGCAGGCCTGGTTTACACAGCAAAACCCTGATTTAAAGAATAAGAAAAGAAAGACGGAAAGGAAAAAAAAAAAAAAACCTCTTAGCTACTGATCTGATCAGATTTTATGGCAGATGGCTAGGAGCAAATAGATTGATGCCTCAATAAACGAACATTTCCAGTTTTCATTAAATTTCTATTTATAATTTTAATTTTCAGCTGCATATGACATCATTCTTGTACTAACAGACAAATTTACATTCTAACCGTACTAGACTCATTAATTTTAAAGTGTATAGTGTTTTTATAAATTGCATTGTTTGCAGTTCTATTTTAGTTGCTGTTTTAATTCTTTTTTAAATATTTGTACATTCATTTATTTTTATTATGTCTCAAATATTGATCTATTTTGCAGTTAGGAACTTTATAGCTTGTAGGGAATTCATTAACAGAGTAGCACACTTTTTTTCCCTTGAAGATAACATGTGTCAAGATTCCTTACTGACATAGGGACGAGTTTGCATAATTTCTCTTATATTTTGATACTAATGGGTATCACACAGAATTCTGAAATAGAAAGTATGTCAGAGCACAGGTTGACAGGAGTGTCTTTTCACATCTAAATGTATAAAATTTATTTACTGTAAATAAAATTCAAGAAAATAAGGTATGGTTTTATAATCAGATAATGTTTCTGAATCAAAATAATGTGTGGCTTATATAATAGTTTTAAACTTATATCAGAATTCTCTTATCTTATTTTGTTTCATCATGGTTTGGCCTTGGTAAGTTTTTGAGACAGGGTCTCTTAGTAGCCAAGACTAGCAGCATACTTGCAGTCATCCTGCTTCTCTTGAGTGCTGGAGCTATAAGCATGCAGCACCACAATGCCTAACTTATCTCAGTACCTTTATCCAGGATATTTCTATATTTTGCTACATAGTTTCAGAATAGTATCCATATAAATTAATAGTTGCAAAAAGTAAAGTAACGCTTGTTTCACTTTTTTGTTTATTTTTTATTGAATTTTGTGATTTTCACTCTACTTGAATGATGCTATTCTTTGCTGTACAGAAGCCTTTTAGATTCATGTATTTACTTATTTTGCAGGTTACATAAAAATTTACATACAATGAAGTTTATGGGGGGAAAATAGGAATAAGAAATCAAAGCCCAAAGGATTTGCCAACATGGGGTCAACTTTGGTGGAATAATGAAGGTTTCCATTAGCTCTGTTATTTTTTTTTGAAAATCCTAATGAGTTTTTTTGGGCTTGCTAACAGAACATAGGGTGGGGGTTATTTACAGAAGAGTGAGTGCCCTTCCCCATTTATGGCTGTGCTAGAAAGTCCACACTCAATTATATATCCTGTGACTTCCTAACAGCTGCACAAAAATGGCGAGAGAGGTGCCTCAGGGCATTCTTGGCTTATATAGCCTTAGCCCCTCCCCCACCTACAGCTAAGGTCGACTGATTGGGTGGGAGGGATAACTGACTCCCCCTTGACTCCTTGACGAGCATGGGAAGGAGGTGTGACTATAGCTTGCCAGCATAGTGGTTGGAGGACACTTTCAGTTAACACTCCACCCCTTCCTCCAGCTTTTACATTCCTTCTGCCAACCTCTTCTCCAAAAGTCCCTGAGCCTGGGAGGGGGTGATAGATGTGGGATGATCTTCCTCCCATTGTGGTAAGGCACTGAACTTTAAGGTCTCTGTATCATCTGTTTTCCATGGGCTGTTGGCCTATTTCAGTGGGATTCCATCTATACCACGTGGAGGCTGGATCCAGGCACTCCCAGGCAGTCTGCTGAGGTCTCAGCCCCTACACCCAGTGGAGGCCAGATCAGGCACTCTCAGGTCTGCTGAGTTCTCTAAAGCTTTTTAAGTTTTATGAGGTCTCATATGTCAGATGTTGGACTTAATGCTTGTGCTATAGGAGTCATGTTCAGAAAGTCCTTTCCTGTGCCCGTAAGTTCACACATATTATTTTCTCCTCTATCTGATTCAGGGTATTGGGTCTTATGTTCAGGTCCTTGATCCATTTGGAGTTGAGTTTTATGCATGATGAGAAATAGGGATCTAGTTTCATTCTTTTATATGCTGCTATCCAGTTTGACCAGCACCCTTTGTCGAACATGCTGTCTTCTCTCCAATGTGTATTTGTGGGTCCTTAGTCAGAAATCAGGTGGCTACTGCCAGGCGTGGTGCCTTTAATCCCAGCACTTGAAAGGCAGAGGTAGGCAGATCTCTGTGAGTTCAAGGCCAGCCTGTTCTACATAGGGAGTTCCAGGACAGCTGGGGCTCCAGGGAGACCCTGTTTCAAAAAGACCGAAAAAAAAAAAAAATCAGGTGACTGTAAACATATGGATTTAAATCTGTGTCCTTGGGACTAGAGA